GGGGGGGGGTGATTAACCTGATCATAGTTAACATGTAATTGGTGTAAAGCTAAGAATTATCAGTATAAGGATTTGTGAAGGTCATAGTATTTTAACACTTGAATTCATGAATTGATCTATGCTAGTTCACTACTGAACACGTGAAATCACGAGAGTCCTATACTAGGACTAAACGGCCATCCAATCTTTCGAGGTTTTCAATGATGGTTCTAGGTTAAATCGATTTGTGAATTCAGAATTGAAATAATGTCATGCCAAAATGGTGTTGAAACTTATTCTTGTTTACTTACTAACTTACTTTCGCCTGTTACTCCCAATGGAGCATAGGCCGCCGACCAACTTCCTCCAACACACTCTGTCCTGGGCCTTCTTTTCTAGTTCTATCCAGTTCTTGTTCATTTCTCTCATGTCTGTCTCTGTTTCTCGGCGTAATGTGTTCTTTGGTCTTCCTCTTCTCCTTCGACCTTCAGGATTCCATGTGAGGGCTTGTCTTGAAACGCAATCGGGTGATTTCCTCAAAGTGTGCCCTATCCACTTCCAGCGCTTCCTCCTGATTTCTTCCTCCGCTGGAATCTGATTTGTTGTCTCCCACAGTAACTTGTTGCTGATAGTGTCTGGCCATCGGATCCGAAGTATCTTGCGTAGACAACTGTTAATAAGCACTTGTATCTTCTGGATAATGGCTTTCGTAGTTCTCCACGTCTCCGCCCATACAGTAGAACTGTCTTGACATTAGTATTGAAAATTCTAACCTTGGTGTTGGTTGACAATTGTTTTGAGCTCCAGATGTTTTTCAGTTGTAAGTATGCTGCTCTTGCTTTGCCGATCCTCGCCCTCACATCTGCATCTGATCCACCGTGTTCATCAATGATGCTGCCCATATACGTAAAGGTTTCCACATCTTCCAAAGCTTCTCCGTCAAGTGTAATTTGATTGGTGCATATTGTATTGTATCGGAGAGTCTTGCTTTTCCCTTTGTTTATATTAAGACCTACTGCTGCTGAGGCTGCTGCTACACTGGTCGTTTTCTCCTGCATTTGTTGTTGCGTTTGTGATAGAAGAGCCAGATCATCCGCGAAGTCTAGATCGTCAAGTTGCATCCTGCCTGTCCACTGTATCCAGTGCTTTCCTCCAGTCACTGACGTCTTCATGATCCAGTCGATTACCAGGAGAAAAAGAAAGGTTGAAAGTAAGCAACCTTGTCTAACACCGGTCTTTACTTGAAACGAGTCGGCGAGTTGTCCTCCGTGGACGATTTGGCAGTTTAGTCCATCATTGACTATCTTCTCAGGCACGCCGTAGTGTCGAAGAAGCCTCAATAGTGTTGTCCTGTCCACGCTATCAAATGCCTTCTCGTAGTCGATGAAGTTGATGTAGAGTGATGAATTCCAAACGATTGATTGTTCCACAATGATACGTAGAGTTGCTATTTGATCTGTGCACGATCTATCTTTACGAAATCCACCCTGTTGATCTCGACGTTGGGCGTCTACGGAATCCTTCATCCTGTTTAACAATACCCTGTTGAAGACTTTTCCTGGTATTGAGAGGAGAGTAATGCCCCTGTAGTTGTCGCACTTGCTCAGATCGCCTTTCTTTGATATCTTGATCAGAAATACTTTTTCCCAGTCTGTTGGTACTTGTTCTTCATCCCAAATCTTACTGAAGAGGATGTGTAGTATCTTGGCAGTTGATGCTACATTTGCTTTCAGTGCCTCTGCCGGGATGTTGTCTGGTCCCGCTGCTTTGCCGCTCTTGATTTGTCTACTGGTCATGCTGATCTCTTCAATTGTTGGTTAGCCAATATCCATTGGGAGGTCTGTGGGTGCTGCTTCGATGTTGGGTGGGTTCAGTGGCGCTGGTCGATTCAAGAGTTCTTTGAAGTGTTCTAACCACCTGTTCCGTTGTTCTTCAATGTTGGTGATTACCTTGCCTTCCTTGCTTTTCACTGGTCTTTCTGGTTTACGGTAATTTCCAGCAAGTTTCTTTGTTGTATCATACAGTTGTCTCATGTTTCCCTCTCTTGCAGCCTTTTACGCTGTCATCGCTAAATATTCCACATATTTACGTTTGTCGGTTCTGATGCTCCTCTTCACTTGCTTGTTTGCCTCTGTGTATTCGGCTTGTGCCTTGGCCTTTTCCGCTCTGGTTCGGCTGATATTGATTGCTGACTTCTTGTTCCTCCTTGAATCAATTTTATCCAGTGTACCAACAGTGATCCATTCCTTGTGATGGTGCTTTTTTTGGCCCAGAACCTCCTGACATGTTGAAACGATTGCCTCCTTGATACCTTTCCAGTTGCTCTCCATGGTAGTTCCCTCTCCATTGAGTAGATCATGAAAAGCCTCGAACCTGTTGCTGAGGGCTATGTTGAATTTTTTGAGTTTGTCAGCATCTCGAAGAAAGGCTATATTAAACTTTTGTGGTATTGTCCGCACCGTTGTCCAGTGCTTCTTGAGTTTTAGTTTCATCTTGGCTACCAGCAAATGATGATCGGATGCTATATCAGCTCCTCTTCTGGTTCTCACATCTTCCATCGTCCTCCTGAACTTTTTGTTGATGCAGATATTGTCGATTTGATTCTGTGTAGTGTGATCCGGTGAAATCCAAGTGGCTTTGTGTATGTTTTTGTGTGGGAATATGGTGCCATCTATGACCAGTTTATTGAAGGCACATAGGTTTGCAAATCTCTCACCATTTTCGTTCCTTCCTCCCAGTCCATGTTGTCCCATGACGTCTTCGTATCCAGTGTTGTCCATTCCAACCTTAGCATTGAGATCTCCCATCAGAATTGTCAGGTCCTTGATTGGGCACTTCTCGACGATCGACTGCAGCCTATCGTAGAGTTGGTATTTAGCGTCTTCATCGTAGTCGTTGGTAGGCTCATAGCATTGGATGACGTTCATTGTAATGCCCTCTCTCTTTGTTTTGAAGGAGGCTTTGATGATCCTTGGTCCATGAGATTCCCATCCTATAAGTGCATTTTGTGCTTTTTTGGACAGCATCAATGCAACTCCTTGTGTATGTGAGGCATTTTCTTCTTCATGACCGGAGTATAACAGAAGTTCTCCTGAAGATAGTCGTTGTTGCCCAACATGCGTTTCACTGATTCCAAGCACCTCCAGGTTGTATTTTCTCATTTCTGAAGCAATTTGGAAGACTCTTCCGGTCTCCCACATTGTTCGGACATTCCATGTACCTATAAAAATTGTTGCTCTGGTTGTAAGAAGGTGCATCGGCCTCATGACTTCCGAATTAACTCGGCTTTCATTATGAGACGTCATAATTATTCCTTCTACTCCCAGGGCAGAGTTTAAATGGTTTGAATGATTTTTTCTGGTTAGCGTTTTTTTAGCGAGTTGATTTTCTACGGGATGGGGTCGCTAACCCCATGCCCAACCCTCCTCCTTTACCCGGGCTTGGGACCGGCAGCAACCGCCAGAGGAGCTACAGGCGGAGTTTTATTCTTGTTTGGCTTTTATTATTCTTCATCCGAACAACTTCTTCCAAAATAATGCTTAGTTACTATATTATTCCATTGTCGAACATGTGACGATCTTGGTTTGATTTCCTATGTTGCTTATATTCATTTCGGTTGAAACATGGCAACAATTTGTTTTCAGTATCACTGAACCAAAAGGTTCTATTGATCTTATTTAGCAATATTAATGATAAAATGTTTACTGATATCGTCCTAGTGTCGAACATGTTAACAGTACACATCCACTACCCCTGGATCTGAAGGGAATATCTTTTGGTTTCAAGGCTAATCCTTAAACTTATGACAACTGAGTCAATATTCAATGGTTTCTCCGGTTTACATTGGTCTCTAACTTTTATTAGTGTTTATTATTAATGAAAATTAACAATCTTCAAGATCTTCCCATACTGATAGTAACAGTTTAAACTGAGGGGTATGACGAACTATTAGTCTTATTTGTATGAGATATTTGTTTCAGTGTGGTTCTCAATTCAGGTAGCATCGAAAACTAGGGCACAATATTATGTAACACTGAATAGTTGTATCGTTTGAATTCAACTTTTTGACGTAATTAAGAATAACTTAATTTTGAAGCAAATTAGTGGATGAGCACTGCTGACGAGTCCCAAAATAGGACGAAACGGCCATCTAGTGCTTCCATGTTTTCCATGGTGGTCTAGATCGATTGACTAATGATTCCAATTATAAAACTACGAAAATCTCCACAAAAACCCCCTTCTGATAATTCACAATTAAATGATTTATCTAGCTAGCTAGTATGGGACTCTTCAACAATGCCCATTCACGGTCCCTCGTGTAAGACTCTAACCCATGATCTTTGGTATCATAAGCGAACACTTAACACTTAGACCACCGAACCGGTATCCAACTGTGTTAATGTCTAACTTCAGTCGATCTGTCATCTTGCTTAACCCTTCATCCATGATCTGAGACAGATACTTATCAGTACCCGACACGGATTAGACTCCTTTGGTCACGATTTCTCATCAAAACTCCATATTCATATATTTTCATTAATAACCATTCAGTTTAGTTGAATTATTCACTCAGATCATTTACTTTATTACTAGACAAGTTAAATCAACCAGATTAGTAAAAAAAGATACAAGACTTTACAGGAAAACGGTGTTTAAAATATGATACACCTCAGTAACAACATAACCAGATTCTCTCTTTCCCTTCCCCCCTTCCCCCCTCTCTCTCCATATATACATATATATAACAGTAGAATGAAATGTCCAATCATGAAGACCAAATAATTAGAGCATGAGATCTAGACATTATTTATTGTCATTATCAGTCATATACTTAATTGAATATATGACATCGGGAATTCGATTTTATTTGTGTAACTAAATGTTGACAGTTTAATTTTACAGATGTCATAATTATTCAATAGATTCTAGTAATGGAAAAAATGTCAAATTGATGAGGTTCAACATTGTCATCACCGTCATCGTGACCGACATGAATATTATCAATGGATATCAGTTGGATGTACCTGCATCTCAGAGTTGATATTCACTCTGGAACTCGAATCCAGTACTGTTCATTTCAAACGCTATAGCGTTATTCACTCAGCTACTGAGTCCTGGATTCCACTGCTAGTCACTATCCATCTTTGCTTAAAATGCTTGTGAATTAAGGTTATATTGAGGCAATACACACAGTATGCCATATGTCAATTAAAGACTGATCAATTGGAGTCCTAAAGATCAATTGCTGATATATCCTCTAAGATGAATGAGTTAATTGTAAAGCTTTCACTGTCAATTTTGGTACTACAATGTGATAAATATTATAGAAACTGTGACCAATGGAGTCCGATACATGTTGAGCGTTAACATGTATCTACCTAAGGCCATGAATCAAAGGTCGAGGAAGATCATGGATGGTTTGAAGTTGGATACTGATTCAGTGGTCTAGGGGTTATGCGTTCGCACGTGAGACCAAAGATCCTGGGTTGGAGTCTAACATATGGGATCATGAATGTTCACTATTGAGGATTCGCATACCAGCACAAAATGACTGTCAAGTAGATCGAGGTTTTAAATGGTATGTAAGCTTATATCGGCTCATGAATTCAACTATTAAAATATCACATACAGAAAAATCGATGCCTTCTTTACAAACGTATACATGAAAACAGGTTAGCAGCATGACTATCAATGATATCAACAAACGTTAACTACCACTACTACTCCTCAACAGTGCGCATTCACAATTTCCCACGAAAGGAACTCGAGCTCAGGTCCTTCAGTATCCAGTGCTTTCATGGTGCTCTAGCTTTGATTGACTCGTGAATTCAACTATTAAATTAATACAATCTTTACAAAACCTCTATTCTCATAAACACATTGGTGCTAATCTTGTCTCATTAACTAAATTAATCACAACCCATTACACGAGAATATAAACAATGATGGAAAGTCTCAGTATGAGTATCAATAAATGAACAAAAGTACATCGAATTCATAAAATATAAGAATAGTAAGACGTTCACTCTGAATTATACCGTTAATGAATGTCAATGGTCTATGTAATCTCTTCAGTCAATTGAAGTTAAACCACCATTAGGAACCAGAAATCACTCGACAACTATTTAGTAGTAGTATAAGACTCCTCAGTAGTATGTATTCACGATCCAATATATTGAACTCAAACTTAAAATCTTAAGGCTTGACATGATGATCTAGCTTATATCACCCCAGCATTCCTCAATATCATTTACATAATATTTTACAACTCATATTTAAAATTGGTTAATGCTTCTCCAGGAAATACCCCATAAATCCAGTCACTAGTTAGCATATGATCATTATCAAAAAAGGTGTTTTGTGAAGATTTTAGTAATTTTTATCCATTTGAAATCATAAGTCAATTGAAGTTAGACCATCATAGAAAACCTAGAAGCATTGGATAACCGTTTCGTCCTATCGTGGGACTGCTCAGCAGTACACATCCACGATCACGTCTCATGAGATTCGAACCCAGGACCTATCAGTCTCACACGCAACCACTTAACCACTAGAACCACTGAGACGGCATCCAATATAACGTTTCTTTTCTATTTTTTTTCTTTTCTATCTTTCAAGGTAACATTATTCATTTAAACAAATCATCATCATGATTCCTAAAAAAACCCGCCTTCAATTAAATTCAAATTTATTATCCAATTCTAATCTATATAAACAATCTAATTTATCATCTTTAATTAAATCTGGACAATTTTATATTGATCAATTTGGTTTTCTTGTTACATCTAATGGTAAACGTTATCCTTTATCATCTGGTCCACCAGAAGGACGTAAATCATTACAATTAAATCAATTATCAATGATTAGTGATAGTAATAATAATCATGAAAAATCAATAATCAATCAAAATTCTCCAATCAAAATCAATAATCAATCAAATCAATTATTACATAATAATCATACTATTATTCAATCCATACTATTACCATATATTGATGCAACTAATTTATCTAATTTATCCATAAAGCAATTACGTAATCAGAATCAGAATCATTCAATGAATCTTATTCATTTCAATGATACCTTATATACTATGAATTGGAATATTATATTATTTACTATCATTATTAGTACTATTACATTAGTATGTCATATTATCTTAATTATATTCTTATCATGGAGATTACATCATCATCAAAAATGGTTATATCAATATAAACATTACAATAATAAGAATGAGCGCTTGACAACTAATAGTAACTATAAAGATGTATTATGTAATCATTGTGAAGCTAGTCAATTCATACCTTGTAAATGTATTACCAATTGTCCATATGTACATAAACAAATAAAAGGAAACCATAACAATACTACTAGTGCTACTACTAGTAGTAGTAGTAGTAGTAGTAGTAGTACTAGTAGTAGTAGTGGTAGTACTACTAGTAATCATAATAGTAGTAATATAATGGATTACAATACTCAAACATTACCCCATACATGTTGTCATACTACTTATAATACTGATTTACATTCTCATATGTATCATAATCCTAAAAGAAAAGGAAGAAAGAAACCCCCCATTAAACATTATCATAAACATCATGTAAATCAACATATATTCTCATGTAATAATCAATATAAATCATTACCATATTATAAACATTCATTATTACTATGTTCTACAAATCAACAATTAGATATGGATTCATTTAATGAAATAAATAGTGATTCAAGTCATGAACATGACAACCAACACAACAATCACCATAGCAACAAATACATATCGAATCCAACTATTTTATATACTCCAACAAACTATTTAAAACAACAACATCAATGTATACATTTAAAAACCAAATCAAATCAAAATCAATTATTGAATGATTGTTTTCATTGTCAAACTACTTATAAAACTACTGATATAGAAGATCAAGAAGAACATGAAAAAGACCAAGATGAAGAAGTCGTCAAGGAACATTTACCATCTTATTCAAAATATATTCTATTCAAAAATTCTATTCATATTTATTATCAACATTTATATATATGTTATACATTAGCAATACATTTAAGTTTACTTAATATACTACTATCATGTTTTCAATTATTAGTAGTATGTATTGGTTTAATAGAAAAAATGAATTATCCTAATTCTATTACAATTCATATAGAATTTCTATGCTTTTTAACACATTCATTAGCATCTTATACTATATTATGTGTTAGATTATATTTATTTATTATCTTTATAAGTAGTATATTTATTACATTCTATATACAGTTCATCATTAAAATAATCATAACCATAATGGATCATAAAAAGATTCAATTGCCAAAAATTTTTTTATATAAACAATTTCTATCTACTAATACTACTTATAAGACTACTTATAATCATCTATCTAATACTAATACTACTACTACTACTACTACTACCAATAATACTACTTATAATCATAATGAAAGTAGTAATCAGAATCATATTTATTTTCAACAAAATTTTGTATATCTTACATTAGTACATTCAATTCCATGGGCATTAGCTGCTGGTACATCATTATTAATTACTTTTTTATTTCAAACCAATTATAATTATGATAATAATAATAATTCAATAATCAATAATAATCAATCAATAATAATGAAACGGAATGTAAATATCTTATTTGATGGATTGAATTCATTATTGACATGTTCCATGGAGAGAACAACGACTACACCGCCATCATCATCATCATCAGCATCAGCATCAGTGTTGACACCACCGTCGTCGTTGTCGTCGGCTGTGTCGTTGCTAACCTCCACATCTACTGATGATATAATATTATCTTCATGGATATCCTCATTACTTTTAATTATTATCCCATTATTATTACTAATTATAATTATTATATTATGTATTATCTTACTACTTATGATTGTATATTATATAAATCATAAACATTTCAATGTATCTAAATTATATTTATCAAAGAAATCATTATTGATCATTTTTATACTACTCATAATTGAAATCAGTAGTTTATCTACACCAATTTTATATCATTTTATTCTATTTTATTATGATCATTATTATGAAAAACGTTTATTATTTATATCCCGTCTTATTATATTACATTATTTTATTGATCCAATATTATTATTATATTTATTACAAAAATGTCATAGTAACAAAAAATTTATTCTGCTTAGTAACAAATTCAATCAATATCATATGATGATGAAATTGATTAGAAAAAATAAAAAAATAAATTTAATTAATGATAATAATAATCAATTGATTAATGATCATGAAATAAAAATCAATAAAATAATCAATAATAATCAATCATCTCCTATCCATTTATTTAGTTGTTTATCAAATCATAATAACAATAATAATAATAATAATCGATTATTAAATCGAAATATAAATGAGATCCAATCAGTTACTATGCCATATTTTTCTAATTCAAATAGCTTAGTAACAATATCATCTGTAAATGATAAAATTAATTCGAATAGTTTTCTATTACCAATAACAAGTAATAATATAATAGATCATTCTATACATAATATATATTCTAATGAGAAACATCATTTATTTCCTATAAAAGATTCTCAATTAGTAACCATAGCAACAAATGTCAATAATCATAATAGTAATAGTCCACTTATATATAGAAATATACCTGATGCTTTACCACAATTATGTCAACATCATCAACATTTATTAGCACAACAATATGAACAACAACAACAACACCAACAGCAACAACAACAGCCCCAGCAACAACCCCAATCCCCTTTAATTACAATCACAGATACAATGAAACGTAATCGTAATTTTACAAATGTACCACGTTTTAAACAAACTATTACTCCTACTACTAATTTTAATGAATTATTTATGAATAAATCAATAACTGATTCATTCAATCAATCATCATTACAAATAATCAATAATAATAATGATCATAATGATACGACACCATCACTTATAAATGAACCAATCAATTCACAACAATATAGAACAATAACAGGACAAAGTACAGCAACAGCAGTTGTAATGGCAGCAGCAGCAGCAGCTATAGCAGCACAAGCAAGTACATTAACTAAAACAAATAATCCATTGAATACATCAATGATATTAGATACATCCAATTCATTATTGTTTATAAATGAACCTAAAACAATAGAACAAACAAATTTAGATGATATAAATTGTGAATTATTAACAAAATAATAGTTGCTATGCAGAGAAAATCAAGTTAATTAACCTTAGAAATAATGTCGTCCAATAACCTGGGATGATTGAAAGTGTGAGGGGAGTCAGATCTTCCACTTAAAATAGTCTCATAATATAGCTATGAGTATACAATCATTGTCAGGAAAGTATCCTAATGGAACAAGTGTATTTTGAATGTTCAAATTTAATTCATTATTTAAATGAATATGATTTGTGTATATATATAAATATTTTTTATTCAGTAATCTAGTTGTGTTATTGTTTTCTTACTTTAATCGAATGGATTCAAGTTAGACAATTGTTGAAAAGCTGGTAGGAACGAACATCTGTTTCGTCCCAGTAGACGAAACTTCATTAGTGAGCATCTACGATTCAGCCCTGTTATGGTTGAGAGTGGGTAGGGCCTGCCCTTTCTCTCTAAATGCTCTCATACAGCCAAGTGTATACAGAAACTGCCAGGGAAGTCCTACTCACTGCCTTCTCGTGGCATTACTGTTGTTTACGAAATTGAGAGAACGAAAAAACGAATGTCCAGAGCTTTGACCGGATCTAGAGTCCCTATTGGTCCTTCTTCTTGACTAGTCCTCCCTACCTCTTGAGTCCAGAACATAAATCTCTGCCTCTGCAATATAAATCATTATATTTCAAACATACTCGATTTATATACAAATCAAACCAGACCATATCACACTATAAAATAGGGAATGACATTTGTAGGTTTGTTCTCTGAGCTAGATGGTTCGGTCGTGGAGCTTTCATCATCCTTCTGAACGACATCATTAGCACCTTGATGTTGATTGGTTCTTATTGGCAAGACAAACTGTGAATCACATGTGAGGAAATTCAAACACTTCACTCCTACCCGAAGTTTGTGTTGATGATGTCGTTCAGAAGGAAGATGAAAACTCCAAGACCAAACCATCCAACTCAGAGAACAAACCTACATCAAAATCACCCACCTGAGCTACAAATCTTCTCCACCATCTCATAGTTAAAAGTGTGTGTTTAATTTTACAGTTTTCATTTAAAGTAATAAAAAAATTTAAAGTCCACCTATTACATGTTACCCAGTGATTATTCCTCTAGTCTCTAAATAGAACACAGATATACATACATACATATATACGTATGCGTAGAAGGATGGAAGATTATATAGTTGCTATACTTTTTTCAGACCACATAGTAAGAAATGAGATAAAAAAAGAAGCAGAGATGATCTTTGATGAATATAATTTCTTATTAAATATAAAAATCAGGTTGAAATAGGGTTACTAATGGATATCTAAATAACTCGAAGTCCCCAAATGCCTTGAGAGTGGGAAGAGTACGCTCTCCCTCCCGAAATCCTCTCACATGTCAACGAGTATAATGCCACTGCAAGGGAAGTCCTATTCATCGCCTTTAAGCACCACAGATGTTGTTTACAAAATTGATAGGAAGAAAAACAAATGTCCGGCGCTTTCGCAGGGTTGGTGGATACGGAGAGTCCACCTGATGGAGTTGGAAAGCCCTGATTTCAAACCAATGGTGAATACGGGCTCCAGGATCCTAAAGGAACAAATAGCTTATAAATCTCCTGTTGGTCACGGGCTACCATGGAACTGCATTTCCTAACGTCGCTCCACTGCTTTATAGATAAGACCTATAGGTAGAAGGCTCCATGAGTGGCTCCTCAGGAAAACCAACTGGTTCGGTCTAGGACCCGGACAGTAAAAACTCCAAAGTTTCCCCTGCAAAATCTAGTTCAAGATTTTCAAGGAATTATACTTACTTACTTACGCCTGTTACCCCTCATGGAGGAGCATAGGCCGCCTACCAGCATTCTCCATACAACCCTGTCCTGGGCAATCCTTTCCAGTTCTTTACAGTTAACATTCATCCTTTTCATATCGGCTTCTGTTTCCCGACGTAATGTGTTCTTTGGCCTTCCCGGGCTTAGGACCGGCAGTAACCCTAGAAGAACTACAGGCAGAGTTAAGGAATTATAATCAAACATCAAAACTTTTGAATATAAATAGGTTAAGTGTATACTAAGTAGATCTGTCAATTAATGTTAACAATGTTTAAAGTAGGTATTTACTTAAGTGTGTAATTATTGTATTTTACTTACTTACTTACTTGCGCCTGTTACCCCTCATGGAAGACCATAGGTCGCCCACTAGCATTTTCCATCCAACTCTGTCATGAAAAGTCTTTTCCAGTTGTTCCATGCTGTTACTCATTCTTTTGATGTCTGTCTACAATACTCAATGCAGTGTATTCTTTGGTCTTCTTCTTTTTCGTTTTCCTTCAGTATTCCAAGTTACGGCTTGCCTCGTGATGTAATTAGATGATTTCCGAAATGTATGTCCTATCCACTTTCAACGACCTTTTATAGTTTCGTCTTTAGCAACAAAACGATTTGTTCTCTCTCTCACAGTAGACTGTTGCTGATGGTATCCTGTCAACATACATTGAATACCTTACGTGGACGTTTATTCGGAAATACTTATACTTCTTTGGTGATAGTTGTAGTAGTTCTCCAAGTTTCAGCTTCGTAAAGTATAACTGTAACTTTTACAACTAAAGCAGATACCTTCTTTAAAGATTGTTAACATCTGCGGTTATTGAAGCCAATGTTACTGGTGCTTTTATTATACAGGACGCGGAAATTGTTATAATATACTTTAATCTCAATCTGGATCGAGCAATAAAGGTTCCTATTCTCGCAAACATCTTCCGTCAACATATATTACATCGAAGGACAACATCACGGTAGTTTGCACAAGGTCTACAAGTCATTTAATACTCGTTATTACCAATACAGAAACTTCTAAGTAGTCTCATTTGTTGTAGCCGCTTAATTGTCAAGTCTTCTCTAAAATCCTTTGTGAACCGATTGTACATGGGCATCAGGTACTGAAATCGGCATCGTGACTTTGAAATCCCTCAAACGCTTCTGATTAGCTCGTCTATAAATTATAGTCTTGCCTAAACAGTTTGTCACCAATTTAATTGATAGATTAAATTCAACTAGACAATCATTGAACAACCATGATGTAGATGCTTATTTCTTAAAATTGAACTTCACATCCAATGTTTAACTATTCCTTCAATAAGGAACGCCATGTCTCTTCTGTATGCTCCAACTAACCCATTTCTATTTTATATACTCATCATTTACAAAATGAATAATAATTAGTTACTATTACAAAATTATCATTTACTAATTACCATAGTAACTAAATATTAGTGGATAATGAAGGATGTATTGTAGCAACAACAACAACAACAAAACACCCCAGTATACAAGTGTTATTAGAATGATTTCCTGTCGGATACAATCATTCATCTCCATTTGGAAAGAAACGGAAACTATTTGATGAAAGATACAATATAAATATACATATATAGATTCATTTAATCTCTAATCAATATTTAGACCTTTCATTCTTTAGATAGATTCAATCCTGCAATTATAGTACTGACTAACTTACTTACTTACGCCTGTTAGACTTTGGGGAGGAATATATAGGCCGCCTATTAGTACTCTTCATTCAACCTTATCTTGGCCCCCAAAATGCCCTGGTACGGCCGAGAGTGGGGAGAGTCTGCTCCTCTTCTCCAAATGCTTTAACATGACCACTCGTATACAGCCTCTGACAGCTAAGTCCTACTCATTGCCTTCTCGTGCCGGGGGTGTAGTTCACGAAATCGAGAGGACGAAAAGCGAATGTCCGGCTTTTTAACCGGGTTGGTTAACACGGAAAATTCACCTAAGGGAATTGGAAAACCCTGATTCCAAACCAATGATGAACACGGACTCCAGTATCCTAAAGGAACAAATGGCGTATGAACCTGTTGTTGGTCACCGGCTACCATGTGACTGCATATGACAATAAGATACTGATCGATTGTAGTCCTAAACATCAATGGGAAGATTTAAACAAACAGTACCAAGTGTGTCTCAATCTCGACCGTTCCTTCAGCAAATATCAGACCACCGTCTCACATTATCATTTTTCGTGCATTTTCATAACGACTGCAAGCAAGATTGTCTGATACAATACAGCATGCACCAATCGAATTACACTTGACGGAGAAGCTTTGGAGGATGTGAAAACCTTTACATATCTGGACAGGATCATTGATGAACACGAAGGATCTGATGCAGATGTGAAGGCGCGGATCGGCAAAGCAAGAACAGCATATTTACGACTGAATAGCATCTGGAGCTCAAAACAATTATCAACCAAAACCAAGGTCAGAATTTTCAATATAAATGTCAAGACAGTTCTACTGTATGGGGCGGAAACTTGGAGAATTACGAAAGTCATCATCCAGAAGAAAAAAGTATTTATTAACAGTTGTCCACACAAAATACTTCAGATCCGTTGACTAGACACTATCAGCAACAAGTCAATCTGGAAGACGACAAAACAGATTCCAGCGGAGGAAGAAATCAGGAAGAAGAGCTGTAAGTGGATAAGACACATATTGGTGAAAACAGCCAACTGTATCACAAAGTAAGCCCTCACATGGAATCCTGAAGGTCAAAGGTGAAGAGAAAGACCAAAGAACACATTACGCCGAGAAATAGGGACAGACATGAGAAGAATGAAGAAAAATTGGATAGAACTAGAAAAGAAGGCCCAGGACAGAGTGGGTTGGAGAACGCAAGTCGGTAGTCTATGCTCCATTGGGGGCAACAGGCGTAAGTAAGTAATTAAGTTAGTAAGCGCTTCATTCCTGTTCTTTCCTTATCGATATTCTACTACAATACACTCAACTAGTGATCATCGTCATATACTACTTATGTGGATATAAGTAACCCACACCATAATACAATCTACAGAATCACTATATATGACTGATAGACTTTATCTTGTATTTTGACACTAGTTAAATAGAAGATGGAGAAGAAGAAGAAGAAGAAGAAGGATCTTCCCAAAGCGAAATCCAAGATGAACACTTTAGTTAAACTTGTCAGTTTAATCATTAATTCATATAAACTGACA